TTACTTTAATAATACTTTAGTATGACGAGATGATCTACAAAAATCAGCCAATCACAATAAAAGTTCGCTATGCTGGTCTAACTGGGATATTTTTGGCTCAGTACAAAAATCAATTAAACTCAAAATGAACATAAGTTTAAGTTTGGATTTAATCCTAAAGTTATTTTTGATAAAACTTATTATCAGATGGAGCGATCAAATTCATTCATAGTTGTTAATAAAAACGGATTAACAATTTATGATAACTTAATCTTTGATAAATATTTTGATCAGTTAAAGAAATCTGACGACAAACCTGATTGGAAGACTCTACCGCTAGTCCGGCTAGACAACAAACAAATATCAGAGCTAAACTCATTTTATCTCACAATTGAGCCTTGGGCTTCCACGATACTTAGTTTATCTTGATGAAGAAAACAAAATTCTACTTTTGATTGGAGGCAATACGATTCAAGTTTGGTACGATCGAAATAAAAAAAAAAGAACTCTTGAATTCATTATGGTGATCAGGGATATGAATAGTGATGCTATGGATGATAATGAGATTAAAAAAATAGAATATGAGATTAAAGAAATAGAATATACAATTAAAAGGTTCAAAATTTCAATTCAACATAAAGATTCCAACTCACCTTTTCCAAATGAAATGGAGGATGAAAATGATGTAATCAAGGTCGTAAAAGAAGCCTGTTGTGTGCTTAAATACTTATATCTTATGTCTATGTCGATCTCTCTGTTGAACGCGCTTTAGGTTACAAAGAAATAGTCAGGCAAACACGAAATATTATTATAAGATTTATTAAATTATACCCGATTTCTTGGCGATTATTGGATTTTCGCTTTGATTTAATGAGCGTTCTAATTGATGTGAGGGAATATTCACTTATAAAATACATATTATTTGGCGAAAAACATCAAGAAGAAGATCCTGAAAATCACAATTTTAAAATCAAACGACAAATAAATTTATATTACATGAAAAATCGCTTCACATGCCACAATATAAATCATAGAAAACACCATCTCCAAAGCATTTTTAGGTTCGTATGTTTAATTGGAATTACCGGTAGTGAAGTTTAATGGTAGGGTGTATGTAGATCATTTTTCATATGATCTACGTGGTATATTAGATTTTTATATAGTAAATAAAAAAATGCTTCTAATAAAACTTTTTAATATCTTAACCAATTTGTATA